TCTTTCTTTCTTTCTTTCTTTCTTTCTTTCTTTCTTTCTTTCTTTCTTTCTTTTTCTTTTTCTTTTTCTTTTTCTTTTTCTTTTTTTCTTTTCCTTCCTTCCTTCCTTTCCTCCCTTCCTTAAATTTATATGCCACCCATCTCCCCCAGAGGGTGACTGACCTTATCACATGTGCACTTTGCAGCATGCTCTATGTGAAGATGCCCTTGAAGACCACTTGAAAGCTGCAACTGGTCCAGAATGTAGTAGTATGAGCAGTAATGGGCATGGCCCCATGTATCACCCCTGCTGCGTGAGCTGCAGTGGTTTCCAGTAAGCTTCTGGGTGCAATTCAAGGTACTAATTATTACCTGCACAGATAGTCCTTGCTTAACAACCATTTGTTCAGCGACTGTTCAAATTTATGGTGGCACTGAACAAATGGTACTTATGCCTGGTCCCCGAAGTTACAGCCGTTGCAGCACCCCCATAGTCACATGATCAAAATTCAGGTGCTTGGCAGCCCGCCTACACTTATAACCACAGGGGTACTTCAACTCCCCCCACCCATCTCCCCCACATATCTGCCCTTTCGGCCACCCTGCATAGCAGCATTCCTCAGAGGCGGAGCCGGCACTAGGGCTAAAGTAGAGGCCCAAGGCTTTCAGCAGTCTCAGCTGGCTGCCACCACCCCCAGGCTTCTACTTCAGCCTCAGTACCACCAGCGAGGAGTGCCGCCTCAGGCCCCACACCAAGGCCAGACACCCCAGCGCCACAGCACAAACCCCAGCTGCCCCCATCATCCTGCACTCTGCAGGCCCTGCTGCACCCAGCTGACCTTTACCGTCTTCCTCCCACTGTTGACAAGACACGCCCAGCCTGGACCTCTGTGAGGCAGCTGCTAGCTGCGCCAGGCCTTCTTCCTGAGGCTGCTTGCACCATTCTCTAAATCATGTGTACCATTCTCCAAATTGCATGCACCTTCTTACAATGCTTAGGAAAGTATTCGGGAACCTTCTGAGGTCTTCCAAAGCAAGTGAAATGGCCACGCCTGCCATTCTCCAAATGCAAAACAATGGATTGCTGATTCCCAGAATGTCTAGTTTTGACACTTCAGCTCTTGGAACTTCAGGTTTGCCTTGGTTCATAGCTGTGAGATTCCATGTACCAATGGCGTACTTACCTTTGCAGTACTGAACCTTCCTTTTGCCTCTGGGCACATTGGCAGCTGGATGACTTTTCAGCTTTAATCCAACCATATCATAAACACCAGTCCTATTAGTACTTGCCATCTGCTCTTCCCCAGAAGCTCACTGGTTATCTTCCAACTTGGAGGGAAATAATCATTATCACATTTACCGTAATTGTGTCAATTTGTTTTCTTGATAGTAAGTTGGAGCAGATTACCAATTCCCTCTTCAATTGCTCATATTTAATTTAACCATTTATCCGTGACCTTGGAATATAGACTCCCAACAGGATAGTTCATAGTACCATTGGGATGGGCAAACCCCTTCACCACTCCAAGGAAATGATCCATGAAGATGAAGCATGTCCTAGGTTATGTACTATCTTATGTATTTATGTATTTATGTACTATAAATTCTGGAGAATTGGCAAAGTGCCAGAAACTGGAAAAGAGCAAATGTTGCTTCTCTCTTCAAAAAGAGGTAAAAAAGGAACAACATATATCAGATTCTAGAGCAGATCACAAAGCGATGGCTCTATAAAGCCTTTGAAAACAATGCTACAGTGCCAATTTGGTGTGATGAGGCATTGGACTAGAATCCAGATCTTAATACTAGTCCTGCATTAGACACAAAGCCAGCTGCATTAATTTGAGCCAGCCACTCTCTTTCAGCCCTAGGAAGAAGATAATGGCAAGCCACTTCTGAAAAGTGTGGCCAAGAAAACTGCAGGGACTTGTTTATGTAGTCACTAGCAATAAAGATTGATTTGCACCAAAATAAATGACCAAAAACCCACATAATTTCTCCAGAATTTTGCTACACTAATTTCATCTCATTTTTGATCCAGCAACTTTCTTAATAGATTGTGAGAATATTGTTAAATACATCTGGAATTCAGCAAAGCATTTGACAAAGTATCCTGTACTATGCTAATCAGCAAGCTTAGTTAAGCACCAGCTGGATGGTACTGTACACCACTTGAGCAGCTGGCTCAGAGTTCTTAGCAAACTGGAGAAAGGCACCAAGTGTAGCACCACAAGGGTCGATCCTGCGTCCTCTAGCTTTCAGTACTTTCATGATGTCTTGGTGGAAAAAGTGGAGAAAGCACTTATCTAATTTGCAGATGACATGAATCTCAGTAAGATAATTTACATCCCAGAAGCTCACTTTCAGCATTATTGAACGTTCAACATCTAATCATTTCCACGGCCACTCACCTTCAACTTTTCTGCTAGCCAATGTGATGTTGACTTCGTAGTATTCTCTGCAACGATCTACATACACTTGATACAGCACTGAGATGTTGCTAATTGTTCCAGACGGAGGGTACGCAATTGAGTGCAACAGCTAACCACTATCTATAACGTAACAGAGGTGTAAAGCAGTATACTCTGCGGACTGTGTTTCTGGTATAGGGAAAAACTTGCCCCTTCCTCAGTGTTCTCTCATGAAGTGATGCTGGCCACGGGGCTCTCTAATTAGCTAACACGAAAGATGTGGTGAAACTGCTGGTTGGGAATATGAGTATATTGTTTCCTATCTCCTGCGACAGAGGAATAATCTTGCCTTTGCTCTGAGGCCTCTAGAGAACACCATAATGTATTTTGCAGAAAATCTGTATCTTATAAATCCTTGTTGTGAGCCTCTCTAAGATGGGAGGCCACACAAATCTTTTAAATAAATCTTTTAAAGGTTTAAAACCCTGGAGCCTTCTAGAAATAGGCTAACATATTTGAAGAGTTTGAGATTGGGGAAAGTTACCATGGAGAACCACAGCCATATTTATGCCCAATCAAATCACTGTAATTAGAAATAAAATAACATTCAAAACATACAAGCAGATCAGTTTATTAGCACTTAACAACACAAGCTTGATTCAGAGCCCTAGGAGCAAATGAGCTCAAACAGACAAATAACATTTAAAAACACACAGGAAAAAAAGGCTGTTACGACAAGGATTTTCCACCAGGCCCAGCCTCCTCCTCCTCTGCATCGGAAAGCTCCTTTTTGCAGCAACACAGCTGGAGCTGCTACGCAAGTCCTTCAGCAGAATAATCAAGGGCGGGTGGCAAAGTCTGCACTGAGTTTCTTCATTATGGCTCCGTGGCTCAGGCCCTGCTGCGAGCGCTTCAGGGAACTATAGTTTTCCTTCACGTACTTTGCAAACGGAGCAAGTGGCGCTTTAGCTGGCGTACCATCTTTGAGCTTGGACTGGCAGAGCACAAGCTGCCCCTTGCATAGAGCACAGACAAAGCGCTGTGTGTCCAGGGATTTGGAGTGGCGTCCGATTCTGAAAGCCAAACACAAAAGGCTTATTAAAGCGAGCCAGGGGGTGTCGTGCAAATGGGTTTTAGTGGTGATTAATTCTTCTTTGAGTGAGGGGGTTCTTCCTTTACCTCTTGAGGAGGACTCAGTTCACCGCCTCCTCAAGAAGCCATCGCTGGACCCCACCATACTGGACAACTTCCGTCCACTCCCCTTTTTGGGGAAGGTGGTTGTGCAGCAGCTTCAGAGGGCCTTGGATGAAGCGGATTATCTGGATCCTTTTCAGTCAGGATTCAGACCAGGGTATGGGACAGAAATGGCATTGCTTGCACTTTTGGATGATCTTTGGTATGGGTGAGATGGGGGTTGTGCATCCATCCTTGCCCTACTTGACCTCTTGGCGACTTTTGATACCATCGACCATGGTATCCTTCTGGATCAACTCAGAAGATTGGGGATGGGCAGTACGGTGATGTGCTGGTTCACCTCCTTCCTCCAGGGTCAATTCCAGTTGGTTATGATTGGGGAGGGGAGATCGCACCCTCAGCCCCTACTATGTGGGGTGCTGCAGGGGTCAGTGCTCTCTCTCCTATTTAACATCTACATGACACTGCTGGGTGAGCTCATCTGTTGCCATGGGTTGAGGTATCATCAGTGCACCGATGGTACCCAATTATACGTATCTGCCCCTGGTGAACTAAGCAATGCTGTTGACATCTTATCCTGGTGTCTAGAGGCTGTGAGGCTCTGGATGGGGAACAACAGGCTTCAACTGAACCCTGGCAAAACTGAGTGGCTTTGGATTTTGGGGCCCACTGGTTCTAGGACTATGCTGTCCTTGGTGCTGAATGGGGTAGCACTGCCCCAAACAGACCCAGTGTGCAATCTGGGGGTCCTCTTAGACTCACGACTCCTGCTTGAAGAACAGGGGCAGTCATGGCTAGAAGGGCTTTTGCACAACTTTGTATTGCTCACCAGTCGCACCAGTTGCACTAGGCTCTACTCACAGTCACTCACGCCTTAGTCACCTCCCAGTTGGACTACCGTAATGCACTCTACATGGGGCTTCCTTTGAAGAGTATCTGGAAGCTTCAGTTCGGGCAAAATGCAGCAGTGTGGGCAGTTATATGTGTTTCTAGTGGAACACATGTTACACCTCTGCTCCACAAGCTGCACTGGTTACCAATCTGTTTCTGGGTTGAATTCAAGGAGCTGTTTTTGACTTTTAAAACCCTACATGGCATGGGACCAGGTTATTTAAGGGACTACCTCTCAATTACATCTGCCTGTCCCACTAGATCCAGCAGCAGGCATGCTGTGGGTCCTGTCAGCTCAAGAGCTACATTTGGCAGGTCCTAGGTGGTGGGCTTTTTCTCCTGCGGTGCCACATTTCTCCCTCCTGAAGTGAGGCTGGCTTCATCACTTCTATCCTACCACAGGTCCTTCAAAACCTGGATGTGTCATCAGGCCTGGGGACTCCAGGGGAATGGTGAATTATAGAGGTGGCTATATTATTAATATCTCTTTGCCTAATATTTCTCTTCTTGTAACTTGTTTTACAATATTTTAATGTTTTTTAAATATTTATTTTATTATTATTTTTATTATTATTATTATTATTATTATTATTATTATT